ATAATTAAATAATTTAAATATTTTAAAAATTTTGATAGACATTAAAAATTTCAATGTGTATTGTGGGTATTTAATGAATAATTATCAAGATATACTTGATTTGCAAGCTGATGACTGTATATACCAAATAACTCACATTATAAACTATAAATGAGTTATAAATTTAGTATGCTGGTATTAACAATCTTAGCAGTATCAGCTAACTGTAGGTATAAGTATCAAATCTAAAATTTGGTCTTATGAAGGTTTAGAGGTGAGCTTTAGATCATTCTCATTAGGTAATATTTATTTATTTTTCTTTCACATATACCATCTGGTTTATTGGATCATCATACATGCACACCACATATGTACACAAACATAAATATTCCAATGTATAAATTTTACACAGGACTCACAGATCGCCCCCTTGTCTCTTTGATCCAGCACCCCCATCCTGTGCTCTATTTGTCCCCACTGCTGGGTGAAGATTTGTAGAAGCTGCCAAGAGGAGGCAGGGTTCTGGAGGAGGGAGAGGTCCTGCCCCCCCTCTCCTCATAGGCACCCTCCATATTTATTAAACCTCCAATTTGTCTATTAACTGGGGATTAGCTTAATAAACTAAGACACAGCCACATGACCAAGTACTATGTAAACATAAAAATGAAGACACACACACACACACGTATATACATATATATTTATTCATTAAAGCAATATTCCCTAAATTCCAACAAGCAAAGTATATGTGTATATATTATGGCTTATTATTACTATTATTAAAGAAGGGCTATGAGAACATACACAGTCATTACTTATTCTTACAAAAGAAATCCTAAAGATTAAGCTGAAAACCACCAGAAAGTACGAAGCATGGAAAGTGGTGAACAGTATAGAATGTGACAAGGATGGATTTGAGACTTCTCCAAGAATACCTTTATATAGCCATTTATGAATGAATCATACAAATGCTTTATTCAAATATAAAATTAAAGAAGAAAATCCTAAAATTGAAAACAAACAAACCTAACCTAATTATCAAATTAGCAAGCACATACAGAATTATTTTAACTGACACTTGAACACAGTACACTGACCATATATTCTTAATGATATACATTCTAGGGCAAATAATCCTGTTTTGTTTTTGCTTTTTTTGAGACAGGGTCTCACTACATAGCTCTGACTGGCCTTCGACTCACAAGAGATCTATCTGCTTTTGTCTCCAGAATGTACACCATCACACCAGACCTCCAAAGAATTCTTTTTTTAAAAAAATATTTTATTATTTTTATTTTATGTGTACGAGTGTATTGCCTGCACATATGTGAGTGCACCTGTGTTGTGCAATGCCGCGGAGATCAGAAGACAGCTTCAGATTCCCTTGGAACTGGAGTTAAGGATGGTTTGTAGCCGCTATGTGGGTGCTGGGAATTGAACCCGGGTCCTCTGCAAGAGCAGTCAGTGCTCTTAACCACTGAGCCATCTCTCCAGCCCCAAGACCTCCAAAAAAATTCTTAAATTTCCCTATAGATACTGTGAATTCTAAACCACTGTGTATGTATTTTGGGGAAGTGGCTCTCAAAGGTCATTCATGGAACAGACAGAAGGTGCCCCAAACTCTGAAAGGATCCTAGTTGTCAGAGATGTTATATATGCTCTTTTCACTATACTAAAGAACATTTGCAATGCTTGTGCATTCTGTTGCAGATGTGGAACACTTCCTTAAGAAAATGCATTTTCATTATTGAGCAATGAGATGCATTAGCCACTTTTCTGTGCTAAGATTACAATTTTACTTGAAAGAATAACCAATAAACCAGCTGGTATTCAGTACTTTTTTTTTTTTCTTAAATGAAACAAATGAGGTTATAACTACAAGGAAAAAAAGTAACAGTCTTTTGCCAGTGGTAAAATTTAGTTTACAGATGAAAATTGGAATTTAGTGAATTTTACATTTGGTTCTATAAACATGCCAACTTTCTAATAATGAAGACTTTTCAGATTGGAGAATTAACATCAGTAACAAAGGTAAATAATATTGTATAGCAAAATGTGTCTATTTTTGGAAACTATAACTCAGAAAACTAACATTTTTTATTTTTATGTGTATGAATGTACTGCCTGTATGTAGGTGCACCTATGTCATGCAGTGCCTGCAGAGGTCAGAAGAGGGCTTTGGAGCCCCTGGAAATGGAGTTATGAATGGTTGTTAGTCACCACATGGGTGCTGGGACCTGAACCCAGGCCTCTGTAGGAGCAGTCTTCAGTGCTCTTAACTGCTGAGCCATCTCTCCAGTACCCCACACTAACATTTTTTTTATATGACCAATTCAAAATACCACAAATACTAAAGTTTCTCAACTTTAAGTTCTTTACAAAATCTTTCTACTTTTATTTATGCGTGTGTGTGTGTGTGTGTAAACATGTGTGTGGTGGTCAGAGGGCAACTTGCAGAAGTCAGTTCTCTCCTTCCATCATGTGTGTTTCTGGGCTAGAACTCAAGATTGTTAGGCTTGATGGAAAGCACCCTTACACTCTGAACTGTCTCACTGGCCCTCAACTTTTAATTTCTAATATGATAAAAAATAATACATAATCTACATAAAGAAGTGTTCTTTCAGGTCCTCAATAATTTTTAAAAGCATAAGGCAGTTCTGAAATAAAAAGGTTTCACAACTACTGCTGTAGAAGAAAGCAAATATATTGTTATTAGGAATTAAGAATGCAAGCATTAAGGAAAAAAACAACAGTAATGACAGCAGCAACAGCATGTCTAACACACAAATCTCATATTTAAGAAATCATTAACTACTCCACGTACTTTCAGAGGAAGCACTGATTCCATCGTGAGGGCAGAGAAATTACAAGAACTTAGGAAAACTTTTTGTGGTAAGAGTAAGCAAGAAAAGGCTAGCAAGATGACTCAGAGGGTAAGGTGCTTGCTGCTAAGCCTGGCAACCTGAATTAAATTCCCAGGACCCACAGGGGGGAAGGAAACACAGGTTATCCTTTGGCCAAAGGTGCACTGTGGCATGCACATATGCATACGTGTGTATGTACACACACACACACACACACTCAAACTAAATGGTTTAAAAAATTATGTATTATTTTTATTTTATACATATGAGTATATTGCCTGCATGTGTGTTAAGTGCACCTACGTTGTGCAATGCCCCTGGAGGTCAGAAAAGGGCGTCGGATCCCCTAGAACTGGAATTACAGACAACTGTTAGCTGCCATGTGGGTGCTGGGAACCAAACCCAGGTCCTCTGCAAGAGCAGCCAATGTTCTTAGCCACTAAGCCATCATTCCAGAAAAGAAAAAGCAAGTTAGTGCTTGAATATTAAACAAGATGTATAACAACCAAACCGGAAAACCTTCAGAGATAGTTCAAAGAGTTTCTACTTTTTTTTTAATTTTAATTTTATGTGTATGAGTGTATTGCCTGCATGTAAGTGAGTACACCTGTGTCGTGCCCTCCTGCAGTGGTCAGAAGGTGGCTTCGGATTCCCCTGGAACTGGAGTTAAGGACGGTTTGCAGCCGCCATGTGGGTGCTGGGAATCGAACCCAGGTCCTCTGCAAGAGCAGTCAGTACTCTTACGCTGAGCCATCTCTCCAGCCCCAAGGGTTTCTACTTTTAAATTTGGATAATTTGAACATCTAAAAACTGTTTCCTTTTTTTGTAAAGAAACACATTTATGGTGTTTTGCCTATAAACTTTATATATACTTTGCAAATACAAGTCCATGAAATGAATTTTAGTCTGCAAAGAAAATTATTTTCTACCATATCAGTGACTATTATACCAACTTTAAAAATTTATAATTAGAGGGAAATAATTAAGCACTTATTCTGCCTTTTAGAACTATTATTCATTCCCGGTTTTTAATATAAAGTGCTTGCTGCCAAGCCTGACAGCCTGAGCTCAATCCCTGGAGACCACACGGTAGAAGAAAACTCCTTCCCATAAGTTGTCCTCACACACCTACACAATAAGTAAAGCAATAATTAAAAAACCAAACCAAGCATGGTGGAGCATGTCATTAATCCCAGTACTTGAGAGGCAGAAGCAGGCAGACAGATCTCTGGGAGATTGAGGTGAGCCTGGTCTACATAGTGAGTTCCAGGTCAGCTAGGGCTACGGGGATACCTTGTCTCAAGCAAACAAAACAAAACAAAACTTAAAAAAGAAGAAAGCCAAGACTGGTAGACTAGAGAAAAGGGATCAACTATATGTAGTAGGCTGAAAGACTGAGTCACATAAGGACTAAGAAGTGCTCACATGGCTTGCAGAGAGATCACGTAACTTAGGAAAGACTGACTTTGATGCAACAGTGGAGGTCAAAGATCTGACTAGACTCAGGAACCTGAGATTTAAATTATTATACTATTATAGTGTCTTTATTAAATTCTCACTATTTTCATTACATTTAAAAGTCATTATTTCATAAGTATTTTACAGACAACCTCAGTGTCATACTAAATATCATGAAATAAAAGTCCACTTAGCAAGCAAGGTAAAAGTTGAACAATAAAAACCACACTATAAAAATCTTACAATAGATATTCCAAAAGAACTGAGAAAGATAACTTTAAGAATATTATCATGATACTTACAGAGGGAACGATATTAATAAAAAGCAAATATTACCATCTGGAGTACTTTTTGAAGGCTTTAAGAATTCCCCTTTATTTTCTATTATCTTATCAAATTCATTTAACAAGCTTCTTTTGATTGGAGGGTCTCCTAAAAAAATTTCCATACATGTTTGCAATTATATTAATTTTATCTCTTAAGGGCCTATCATTCATGTTTTAAGACTACAGTACTGATTCATATGTTAAGCAAAACAAAACCAAATCCAAAACACAACAAAATCCCCACAACTATAATTTAAGTAGCAATCATTCTACTTTAAAAAAATTTACTAAAGGAATGTATTTCTTTTTTTCTTTTTTTATGAAACAGGGTCTCATGCAGATCAGGCAGGCCTCCAACTTGCATGTAGCTGTTGATGACTCTGAATCCTGAATCCTCCTGCCTCCACCTCCCAAGTGATAGGATTATAGGCATGTACCATAATACTGCACTTAAGGATGCATTTATTATATGAGTCTGTGAAAGGGCCAGTAAATAGACTTTCAAATATTACCAAATTACCCCAAAAATAGTAGCAACATTCATTAAAAAATTCTAGAGGTTAAGGGGGCTGGAGAGATGGCTCAGCAGTTAGAAACACTGGCTGTTCTTGCAGAAGACCGGGGTTTGAATCCCAGCACCCACATGGCAGCTAACAACTGTCCGGAACTCCAGTTCCAGGGGATCCAACAACCTCTTCAGTCCTCCATAGGCACTGCATGACATGGGTGTACTCACATGCAGGCAATACACACATACATATAAAATAAAATTAAATATTAAAAAAAATTCTAGAGGTTAAGGCAAAAGCATAACAGAAGTTATGCATTTCAATGCTGATATATGTAGTATAATAATTTTATATGCACACACACGTGTACATGTGTATACATGTGCAACTGGAGTCTGGAGGATAACTCCAGTCGTCATGCTCAGGAATGCTACCTACCTCCTTTGATACAGGGTCTCTCATTGGCCTGAAGCTCACCAATTAGGCTAGACTGTCTAGCCAGCAAGCCCCAGGAATCTGTCTTCACCTCCCCAGTTCTAGGACTACAAATGTGTGCCACCATGGCCAGCACTTTTACAGTTCTGGGGCTCAAACTTGTGTCTACCAGCCATTCCCCAAGTCCCATACTTTATTCTTATTTTTTGATGCTTTACTATAGGGGGTGGATTCCTAGGATTTAGTGAGTGAAAATATTTATGTAAAGCTTGATCTATGTTATGAGCAGTTAACTGTTTAATGAGGACCTGTACTGTTAAAACAAACAGAAGCTGATAAAGCTGTATATTTTTATACAAATACTGTTGAGAACGTTTGTATAAGTTTCAGGATTTTTTTTCCCCTCTAGGTAGGTTATTCTACTTCAGTATACACATAGAACAGAATGAGCTGCAATAAAGACATTATTTTTTCTCTGGGTGTGATGGCGCATGCCTTTAATCTTAGCATTTGGGAGGCAGAGGCAGAAAGAAGCAGAGGGAGGCAGGTCTCTGTGAGTTCAAGGTCAGCCTGGTTTACATAGCAAGTTCAAGGCCAGCTGGGGCTACAGGGAGACTCTGTCTCAAAAAAAAAAAAAAAAAAAAAAAAAAAAGAGAGACATTATTTTCCACATAAAAATTATAAATCTCTTAAAGCCTATGTACATCAGAATTTTGCAATAAAAGACAGCAAACAGTTTAAGTTTTACAAACTTACACTTGCTCATATGGAATGTGACCTGTATAACATTTGATGAAGAAAAACTGTGTATCCAGCAGGATGACTTACAATGAACTGACTGACTTCAGTGTCTTTCTCCATAATATGATACAGCTGGACAAGAAGATATATGATAACTCCAACGCTTTGTGAATCTAAACGCTGCTAAAAGGAGCCAGCTACTTCAAGATCATTCCCTAGAGAGTTACAGTATTAGGGGGCTGGAGAGATGGTTCAGCAGTCATGAGCACTGACTGTTCTTGCAGAGAGAGGACCCAGGTTCGATTCCCAGCACCCACATGACAGCCCTCTTCTGACCTTCATGGCACTGAACGGCACGGGTGTACTCACATACATGCGGGCAATACACTCATATACATAAAATAAAAATAATAAATAAAATATTAAAAAAAATAAACCTTACCTAGCCAAATACAGGTAGCTGGAGAGGTCATAGATCTTAGAGATAACTCCAAGGCTGTCATATCCCTAAAGAAATGCAATATGGATCCTTAAATCTATAGGTAAGTATCCCAGTCACCACCCATCAGAGAAGCTTCTTTTTAAAGACAGATATAGTTACAGAGTTCCACAACTGGTCACACACAGAGATTGTGAATTGCCCAAGCCTAAGTAGCACATGTAGCATGTAACCTCTGCACCTAATGTTCATGGAACATAGAACAAGGGATGAAGAGAACACTATTGCATATTTCAGTTCTCATCAATGAAGCTCCCTCATGCAACAGAAGGCCAGGAATGCAAAAGGTCACAGATGACCAAAACATGGAGAATAAGAGTCTGAAGAGTGTGAGTCCTTGGACAGGAATCCTATATTAAAGTCTACCCACCCAGGGCTCAGGGATCATTAGTGCTGGCATTAAAGGCATGCGCCACCACGCCTGGCTATTTTACATTTTATGATTTAAAAAATTTAATTCAGTGACT